TCATCATCGTAGAAAGAGACGAGGGCCCATACATTCGTCTACAGTTATCAAATACATTGACCTTAACGATTTACTATACTCAACACGCGCTGTAAGAAAACAACGAGAAAGTACGCAACATCAATTTACGAAAAATGAAATGAAAATATACGTTGTATAATCAAGACTGAAACTATTAATTTTATTACCGTTTTTTTTTGTTTACTTGAATCCCGGTTTCTTTTTTTTTTGAATAAATATCTATAGATGTAAAGTTCTTACAAAAAAAGAAGTGATTTTCGTGATATACTCAGTCACGTATTCACAGGGATCGAATGGATTAGCTGATAATCAAAATAGCGAGTGTAATGAAGTGCATGCATCACTGTAGAAAAACAGAAAAATAGATATTCATTTTGAAATATGGTTTTCTAATTCAATTCAACTTAATTTTCAATTTATATGCATATGTCCGCAACCTCATGCTTAGCTGAGAATAACACCTTTTTGGTAATCGTCATCAATTGTCTATTAGACATGATAGGTTATATTTCATTTTTTTATTATTGAAAGCTTAGTTTTATTTGAAAATATCCAAAAACAAATCGATTTGACTCGGCTTTATTACCGTCCTTAGGATATATGAGAACGGTTTGGTAAAACGAACGACCACAATTTACTTTTTCATTCTAAATTCTAGTGCAGTGAAAAATAGTTTTTTTTCTTTCATTAGTATTTGGCGATCGACATAGAATGGCAGCAACAAATTTCTTACGAATTTCAACTAATTTCTTTCTATTAATTTTTATCGTTGAATTGAATGCTGCAAAAATTGGCAAAGAGAAACGTAAGTATTTTTAATTTTTTTTGCTCTAGCCGTGGAATTGGTATTGAATGTTTAAAACAGTTTTTTCAAGAAAAAATTATACTCATTTCTTTTTACTCTCATCTAGACTATATGGACAAAATGTGTGGCAATGAGCTATTTACTTTGGATGGTGATAGAATACCAGGTATTTCATTACAATTAACGAGTGGTAGTAAATACAAACCAAATGCCAATTGTACCGTAAGATTTCGTACAGCTCAACCAAGCCAACGATTGATTATTACCATGGAAAAAATGGACATTACTGATTGCCCAGGTGATTTGCTGAAGATTTATGACGGTAAAAATTTACTTAATATGGCTACTAAACAACAATGCGGTACAACTGCATCTTTTACTGTTACAGTATGATGTCGATTAAGATTTAAATGAAAATAAAAATAGATAATTTAGAGTTCAACAACACAAGTATCAATCACATTTACAAGTAATGCAGCAAGTGAATCATCTGGTTTTCAAGCTGCCATCGCCCTTCATTTTCCAAGTAAAATCTTATTTGAATAGCTGTGATTATTCAATTCTTTTAATTTAGTGATTGCCTCATGTCCTCAAAATCTTGGCTTTTTTCAATGTAAAAATAAGAATTGTATTTCGAAGCAACTTGAATGTGACGGACGAAATCATTGCGGCGATGGCACCGATGAAAATCAGTGTGGAATTCTTTCTGGTTAAAATATTTTGTTTCTTTCCTAAACGTGATCTTTAATCAGAAAAGCAATAAAAAAAAGATAATTTTTATTGTTAAGCATATCAAAGCTGGCTTCTTTTTCTTTCATAACGAAAACAAAGAAAATATAAATCATCTAATTAATAACTGAACATAGAAGTTATTTTGGCTGTTCACCAACATCAATTAAAAAATGAGTATAAAGATGATAAAAAGTTGTATTCAGCAAATTATATTTAACATTATTAACACCATCGGAGTCAATGCGAATATGTGCCGTGCGTAAGACTTTCATACGAGCAGGATTTAATTTCTGATGTGTATGTTTTAACATTTTATAACGTGCAATTGATGTTGGCGGACGTTCAACTTTTAAATGTTTTTTAACAATACGAGCATGCATATCGTCGTCCTCACCACCCCAGCCCCAATAATTTGTTGAATAGCCATTCACCAGTAGATAATGTTCACGACGCATAGCTAAAATAAAGATTCTTTTGTTCTAACACGGTGAACTATAATTTCCCGTATAAAAATGAAACTGTCAGAAAACAATGATAATCATTATTTCTGCTTGGGTTCATTTGAATAGATAGCTTTTTTTGTTTCTTAGATGTAAGTGAATTGAAAATTTGTTCTCATTCAAGCGATGTAAACTTATACTACTGTTCAATGCTCTTGTTGACCGCACGAATGAAACATGACCTATGCTCAAGAATGTAAGAGTGTGCCACAACAATTTTCAGTTGTCATCAGAACATAAAAAAAAAGAGTTCAGCAATAAGTTTAATAATACGTCGGATGTATATTCAGTCGATTTTTAAATTTACGATTGAAAAACAACAGTGAATTGAACGTGTAGCAGCTTAATTTCTTCTATTGATTGTCGTAGACGACAGTAGAACGCCAAGCATTACTGCGGAAGACTATTAAAGAATGCTCGAAAGAGTTGATCGTGAAGTATTGAGCCCATGCATCAATACACAGTCAAAACTGATTTCCGGAAAATCAAATGAAAGGAACAAATAACACCTTGGCATATTTTTGTCACGTTCCAATAATAAATCTTTAGAACCTTCCTATCTGTCCGCGTAGGTTAAAATGACGCGTCTATTTTTTCTGTCCTACGCAAAGAGAAAGTAAAGGAAACAATCATGCTAAATTAATTCTTTTAATGATGTATTATCACACATTGAATAAATTGGATAACGACATTTCTCGTTCTAAAATTCTGCCTTATAAAGATAATGTTGCGAACCGGAAAAAAATACTACCAATTTTCTTTGTAAAATCCATTGATGTAATGATCATTAGCTAATCTAAGTTCTAAGTAGCAATTCACTGCATTAAAATAGGAATTTATTCAAGTCATAGTTCTATTCTCATCTATTGGAAACAACTATAAATGAGAGGAAAAGAAAAACAAATTGGACAAACTCTTCTTACCTAAAACACCCCCAACAAGTTGAGCGTAAGGTAAATAAAATTTAAATTTATCAACGGCAACACTTAAATGGCGTGGATATAGTGGACATGTATACATATTTCGATCATCAATTAACAATAGATCCACGTCGTGCATAATAAAACAAGGTGTATCGGGTTCAAGTTTTAAAATCTCTTTGAAACATCCGTTCATAACAATGCCTTTATTGAATGTTGTATTAAATGCTTGTTCGCACACATATATTCGATAGTCCAATTGTTGTCGCTGCAGGATTTGATGTGTATGAAAAAGAAAATGAGTTAATATATCCCAACGATCTCGATATGGTACAATAATAGCAACTTTATGACGAGCTAGACAAGCTTTTGGCTGATAATAACCACCAAACTGAACATCAGTATGATACGATGAATTAGAAGTGAGAGAAAATGTTTTTGGTACTTCATGAATAATTAACGGACCTTGAAGATCAGGCGGTATAGGTGGGCAATAATTTAATGACGTATTCCGATTTTCGACTGTTGGAAAATAATTATTTACAATTGAATGAACAAAAATTTTGTAGGTTTCTTCAAATGAATCAAGTTTTTTGCTAAATATTCTTCGCGAACTATTACTCAGATTATTTTCTTGTACATAAGACATTGACGTTTGTGCGTATTGATCCATATTATGCGATAGTGAACGTCGGATAATATAAATTGCATTAATAAAGCTAGTCAACAGCATCAGACTACTACATATAATGCATAATAGATAAATATGATCATGTCGATGGCAGATAATCATAATTTTGGTTTTTAAGTTGATTTTAATATATTATATATTTTAGATCATCACTTATTCATCTATACGAATGAAAGAAAAAAAGAGCTATTAAACGAATGATTTATGACAAATTGACAAGCATGAAGAGTTGCCCTCTTCATTTATTAAGAACGAATAAAGAAGCAAGATATAAATGTATGCGCAAGCACATAAAATGAAGCAATCCAACGAGCTTTCTCTTCCCGACTGTTAACTATCGGTCTGATGGGTTAAAACTAACAATTCTGTCGTAGCTCAATATTTTCCCTCCTTTTCTTCTTCATATACAACGATCGTGTGCGTGTCTCATAAATTTTCTCCTGAAGGAATAAATATATGAAAAAAAAAGCGGAACATAAAAAAAGAAATAGGATTAAACGAGAATCTCTTGACAAGTTTTTCTTCTTCTAATACATATAATAATAGCAATAAAATATTTTATGTTTAAACAATATAATATGGAATTATTCGATGCGGTTACTTTTACGAGATTGGCTTTGTCAATAATGAAACATAATGCAAACAGGTTATAGATCTAAATGATTTGATCAGTGAGATCAATAGAACATCTATTTTAAATACCAGAAATAGGCTAGCCTATTATTCATAATTCTGTCTCGGCGGATTACTTGAAATTTGTTCCAATGAATACAGAATTTATGGAGTGGAAACGGCAACATGAAAACGAGGAAGAAGAACAGAACAGATCGTTTTTGTTTGTTTACCATAAATTTGTCAACCACTCAACGTTCTACTAAACTACGTACTTTTATTCAAACAATAGTATGAGTGAACATTAATTAATATGCTGAGCTCGGTCAATAAAAAAGTATGTCTATTATTGTTGGAGCTCTCATATATGTATATATATATATACGTGAGATGGCGACAATATGATATATGAGAAAGATGAGAAGGCGCCTATAAAAATGAGAGAAAAAGAAAAGAAGACGGGGATTCTTAGTTCTCACGGCAGACATGTATTTAACTCATACATATATGGACCCATATTATTTGTGCCTAAGTATGCATACGAAGCTTTTCTTCTGTTTTCGTTCGAATAATAAAAGAATGACGTCAACTGTTGTGCCACAATGCTTAAGATAATTTATCGAGGACTACATTACCTTAGAGCCATTTTTTTATGCAGTCTCGATAAGGAACATGATTTCCCAATACGAAGGTGCGTGTGCAAATATAGTAGATTAAATAGGAGCAAATTTATACAAGTCAAAGAATTGTGATAGGTACATGGCGATTATTTATTTTCATTCAACAAAATTCTTTCGTTAAAACATAAACTCAAAATAGAAATGGATTCATCAATGACTTATTTAATCAATAATTCAACAACACATTCGTAATTATTATGTTTCGACCACAATTTATCGCAAATAAATTATTTATCGTAATGAAAAAAAATGTACCTGAAGTGATTTATTATGTTTTTTAACCAAATCAGCACGTAGTGTTGTTCTTGCTTGATTTTAGTATATGAGAGCTCAGTGAATTCTAACGTATTTTATTTAACATAGTAGAGAAGTAATTTTCTTTTCTCATTGATTTAATAATCTGTATCTATTTTTTAATTGGCAATTAAAAAAAAAGCATATAATCGCAAGGTAAAATCTAATCGAAATGATAGTTTTTTTTGTTTGGCTTCGAATAATCAATTATTCCAAATGAAAATGAAATGTTGTTTGTTCGTGATATTCTTCACCAGGAAGAAGAATAGTAGTTGGAAATTGAGGCTGAAAATAAATTCCATTGATTTATATGTACAGGTTGCGGAGAAAAAAAAAGAGAAGACTTACTTGATTGTTAACGCTATCACTATAATTTTGAATTTCTAAACACAATGCAGCATGTTTATCATAGGCTGTTCCGTTGTGACCTTTACCACCATCAAGATGATCTGCTGTATAAAACTGAATTCCTTTTTGAGTTGATTCAATAGTCATGGCTCGGCCACTTGATCCATGAACAAGTCTAGTAGTAATGAATAAAGAAAGTAGAAGAAACAGAATAGAATCTAATCAAATGTACAAGACTCACTTTCCAAAGGGACGTTTTCCTTCGCCATTAACGAGCAACATAATATCATAACCAGTAAATGATTCATTTATATGATCACCAACACGAGTCAATGTTCTAAAATCGAATGGAGTATTTTCTACTGATGCTATTTCTCCTGAAGAAAAAGAAAAATTAGTCATAATAATAATTATGATTATTCTATTTACCTGTCGGAATGTGTTCATCATCTAATGAAATAATTTTATCGGCAGGTACTATTAATTGATGATCGAGTATTGTTCCGCTTGCCTAAAAAACAAAATGAAAATTCTCAAACATGTCTAGTTTATAAGAAGTATTGACTAACTTACATCTCCACCAAGATTAAAATAAGCATGATTTGTCATATTTATTGGTGTTGATTTTGTTGTTGTTGCATGATAATCAATCTTTAATTGATGATCACTTGACAATATATATTTGACAGTCGCATCGACTTGGCCAGGAAATCCGCTTTCACCTGTTTTTTTTGTATGAAAAGAAGAAGAAAATGTTTTTTTTTACATTTAAATTCTAAAAAGAATTCTACCATCTGGACTTTGATATTTAAAAATAACAGTATCATTATTTTCTGTTGAACTATCCCATACACGTTTATGAAAAGCACCATGTAAATAATGTTTTTTTGTACCGTCATCCTTTGGCAATTCATAGGTAGTACCATCTAATTCAAAACGACCATTCTTTATTCGATTTGTTACTCGACCAACAGTACAACCAAAAAAATTTTTATCATCCACATACTCTAATTGATAAAGGTAAGTATTTAAAAAAATTACTTTCTTCGAGTCACTGTACCCTGAAGAGTATCATAACCGAGTGTGACTTCACTAATTTGATTGTTTTTATCTGGTTGTCGAATAGATTGAATTGTAGCACCATAATTAATTAAAGAAACTTCAAAGCCATCTGGTGTTGAAAGAGTATATCTAAAATGCAATGAATTAATTCATTGAAATTAAAATACTATTTATTTACTTTTTTATTTCATTATTATTATTTGTTACACCAAATAAAGTTTCAGTTAGTTTTACTGTAGCCATTTGTTTTTTATCTTATCTCAAATACCAACAGAGTGTTTATTTAAATATGTAAACTTCATATAATATTATATATAGAAGACTACTAACGTTCTCTAGCGTAATATTTAATTTAACCAATCGAATATTCGAAAAAAACAATATTTTTAGTTATGTTTCATTGTTATTAATAGTTTTTTGTGTTATCGTGATGAGAAAAATTCTAGTATCAACTTCATGAATCGATTGTTCGATGTTTAGTTCCGAACTGCTCCAGTGTTTGCTTTTCTTCGGTTTGCACACATTTTTAGTCATTACTACGTGTCGATTTGAAATAACGACTCGCGATTAAATTAAAATTATAGTTAGCTTTCTTGTTAATCTATTCTTGAGATAGTGCAATGGAAATTAAGGCAGTTATAAAATTTCCACAAATCTCTAGTTTATGATAGCAACTAATTATTATATCAAACCACATTTATTGGCATTCAATAAAGATTGAAAGTTTTATGATACTGAAAGACTTTCCAGGGATTCTGAGAAATTTCCAGGACACCATGTCTTTATTACACCTGTGACATTGCTGAAACATTTGACACGAATCGTTGAAATTTCTTTCGAAGATTTGTTTGGTCCATTCTAGCTTTTTTTTATAAAACCTAGGTTCTTTTTGGTGTGATGAGAGATTAATATTAATAATTTACTGGAAAGAATATTTCTATTAAACATTCGATTGCTTCCATAATTCTAACTGAACAAAAAGTAAGTTCATATGCATCGGCGGGCCAGGGTCAGTTTTTTTGGTGTGGCAAAAATTATTAAAAGCATAAGGCACCTATAAAAAAGCTTTTCAGCGCAGCCCCGTTGGGGCTAAAATGTGGAACTCACATATTTCGGTCGGTTAGATACTGACCAAATAGAAGTTTTATTTTTTCAGTGTAGTAAGATCATATTTTGTTCAAAAATAAGATAATAAAACTTTTTAACATTTGAAGCTTTTTGAATCTATCAATAGGAAAAATTACTAGAGAGAACGTATAAAAAACTTTTTGTTTAGAACATGTCGGTATGCTGAAGTGTTTAGTGGTTTCACTGAGAA